TTGTAAGAGGGTGTATGTGGGTGAACCCGGGCGTGTGTGGGGGCGGAAATCGTGGGGGAGGAAATCGTGCGTGAGGGGCTGTCTGCAGCACGACCCATGCCCTTCGTGCTTTTGCTCTTCCCCTATCCCACTTGTCCCCGTCCCAACCCTCGTCCCACCACCACCCTCTCTCTCTCTCCTCGCTCCCTGCCCTGTCTTTGCATTTTCTCTTCGCCTGATTCTGGCTCCAGTTTTTATGTATTCTCTCCCCTATATTTATCACATATACCCTTCTTCATTTTGTTGCTTATTCACGATTCCGTTGCCCCTCTAACCCTCTGCTTGTCCGTTGCCCCACTGCCCCTCCAATGCCCCTCATATGACTGTGTTGCTGCCCAACCCCTCCACTACACATCTTGTGACAATCTCTAAGTGTTTCCACACTACCACGTCTGTCACCTACGCCTGATACACCTCTCCGGTACCTTCATCATTTTCCAACCCATACACTCAAGTTCTAGACCATTAATTTTGCAACTCCTTCCCTATTTTCGTCTCTGCTTACCTGTACCTTTGTGGGGGAGTGTGGCTGACTGCGGCAGCTGCAGCGGCTGCGGTTGTTGAGGCACCTTTTGCGGTCGCGACGTGTGCTGTCGCCGACTTCAAGGTTTAATCTTCAGCCCATTCTAACACGGCACGATCCCTTCAATCCCCTGATTCGTTGCTTACTCCATCTTGGCATGCAATGACGTTCCTATCCCTTATATTTCCCTGATTTATCCTGTCTTATCAAGTCCTGCTATACCCCTCCCCTGAACATTTCCCCTTCATGAACTTTACCCTCAATTTCCCTTCGCAATCCTCCTTTCCCCTCCCCTTCCGATTCCAAGGCCTTTCCCTCCCTCCCCGCCCTTCTCCCTTGCCATTTCCCCACTGGCCAACAACCACGCACACCTGCTCGGTGCAGATATGCCCAATCAGGACCTTTGCCGTTCCATACTTGCTGGTGAGGGGAGAATCAGTGTCTGGGAAGGGGAGAGGGAGCGGGACGGGAAGGGGAGAGAGGAACACAGATAGGGGGTGAGAAAGAGCGTGGGGGGAAGAGTGGGGGGGACAGTGGGGGGTGATGTTGGGAGCTGGGGGAAAGGGGAGGAAGGGAAGGGAGGAAAGAGAAACAGATACATAAGATGGGTGGAACTCTGATTTTGCCAATATTTTTTTCTAAACTGCAAGCGACACGTTACTCTTCCATTCCTCCGGTTCCGCCATTCCCCACTCCTCCATTGCCACCATTTGGTTATTGTCTTACCCCCCCATGGCCCCATTGCTTCGTCCCTACCACCATTCCCTTACTTCCAGACATCCTCTATCCCTTATTGCTTCGTTCCTCCCACCATACCCTTATTTCCCCGCTTCCCCATTCCCCATTCCCATTCCTCCAACCCAGTGTGCGACTGCCGGTTGATCAACCTAAGCGGGTCGAACCTCGCTGGCAGCACCAACACCTTTGCGGGCTTTGTGCATGCCAACCTCGAGAACACCAACTAGTGAGCGCATGTCTGCAGTGTGGCTGCATGTGGGCTTGCTGCAAAGTCGCCTTAGGGATGCACGTTTTGCATTCTAATATCATGAAATTTGCAGGCACCCTTCTTACATTAGAAACCCCAACACACCATCATTTGACGTCTCCAACAGGCTGTAAGCTCATCAAGTAAATGGTGAAGGCAGTCGCGTGTTAACCGTGTTGCAGCCACCAATCAACCTTTGGCAGGAATACAGCATGTTTACTCATTGTTACCCGAGCTCCCTTTGCTCATGAGTAGCCGAAATCCTCTCATGTCCTACATGAAAGAATCCAGTTGCAGAACTTGGTCCATGTATTAGTAAACAATTGTAACATGCATCTCCCCTCTCACGTACCCAATCGAGTGTCTCTACCCCCCAACCCACCCCCTCCCTTTTAACTGTTAAGGCGGTAGCAGGTTGGCTCATTCATAAGTGTGAATGAGGCAGGTTGAAACCTTCGTGGGCAGATTGCGACGAGCAGAGGGTGGAATATTGGACAGTTGATAAACTTGGGGACGTGGAGTGTGCCGTCAGTCGCATTTAGGTGAGTGGTCTATGCCCTTGCCGCACAACAGCTGCGTTGCTCTTGCAGGGGCTTACCTATTGCCTAGTGGTACTTGTATCTCCTGTACTCTGTTTGCAGAAACCGGTCCGATATGGATTTCTATGCCTGCAGGTTTTGTAGGCTTTGCTTCTGTAGTGTAAACTCTGTATCAAATCTCGAGAGAACTCACGATGATGATCCTCTCCCAGAATATCGTAGGAGCCCTAGTATCCTATCCAACATACTCAGGTGTAGATTGGAGTACCCTATCCAACCCTGACGATCCAGTGGATGAGTCTATACCTGAGACTGTAGATAATGGTGTGGAGGATGTGTTGCCAGATGCGGAGTTTTTCCCAGCCTCAGCTTTCTTTGCAGACGATGAGGAGGAGGAAGCGACTTTTGATACCCGTTTTGAGGTGTTTAGATTCATTGCGCAACCGTGGGGCTGGGCTTAGTGGACCTGATGTTGTAGAGTTGCTACGCCTAATCAACCACCCTAAGTTTGATAGGCAAGCAATAGCTGACTGGGCTGGGAAGGCGGCGGTTGACAAGTTTGCCGAGGATGAGCTCGGGATTGAGAAGGTTAAATTCAAAACAGCAGTGATCAGGGTTTCGGGCTGGCTGAAGTCTTTCACCGTCAAGTTCCTCGATGGGGTTGAGGTAAGTTGACAGTTCTTCTAAACCGTGTTTCCTCTGTCACAGGAAGATCACAATCATATACCTTCTCTAACGCGCAGACATTGAGGCGCATGTGGGCGGATCCTAGAAACGCCCCAGGGTTCGTACATTGTGCTGCAGCCAAGGAGGATGTCAATGGGAAGAGAGTGTACGCCGAGGCACACCCTGCATCTTTCTGGATTGGTGCTCAGGTATGCATCTTGCATGTCCATGTAACGGGTTAACAGGCCCATACCTTGTACAATCCGGCTGGACCTTGGAACTGCCCATGGCTACATGGCATCGCAGTGGCTACGTTAGCATGCGCTGCCTTAATTTCATCCCTGGTTGCGTTTGCAAAGTGACCTTACAAAATCTAGTGCTAGTGCTGTCATTGGTGTGTGGCCCACTTTGCCATCACTCTTGTCATTGGTGTGTGGCATTCAGTGTGTTACTTTGAAATGGGTTTGGCAGGATGGGCTTGGTCCGCGGGAGTGCATCTGTCCACTCATTATCTCAAGTGATGAAACTCATTTGAGTGGTAACGAGAGGTGCAGAGCTTGGCCGGTATACTTGTCTTTTGCCAATGTACCACTTAGCACCAGGTGGCAGGAACATGGGCATGCCCTGATTGCTCTCCTACCATTGCCGGATTTTGAAATGGAGCCAAGTCAAAAGACGGAGCTCTTCCAGAAATGCTGCGAAGTTGTGCTTAAGTCCCTTGACGCAGCATGCAAAGAGTAAGTTGTTGCTCTATTCTTGACAACTCCGATATTCTGAACAGCTAGTAACAAGCTGCTAGGGTTTCAAATACCATCCTGATCCATTCAACCCTTTCCATTGTAGATCCATTCCTCTACTTGATCCGGCCGGTGATGCTTACACCGTGTGGCCCAAGATGTTCGTGTAAGTGGCGGACTATCCTGAAACGCGCAAAGTCACTTGCACGTTGCAACACGCATCAGCTCGGCCATGCTCCATAAGCGAGGTGACCATTAAGGACCTTGAGAACATGAATGTGGGTGACGCTGCTCCGGTACGCAACGTGGAGGATCAACAACGATACTCCAGAGATGAGAGCCTTGCGAAGGAGTATTCCACCCACATGACAAAGGTATGAGAGCGTGTTAATCACATTGTTAATTGCATGGTATATGATTACTTATACATAGTGCTAAGTCCACAAACCCGATGGTATTTGTCAGTGCTTCTTTGTGGCACTTCGGGCGTGTAGAGGACCGGACCAAACCCTGGGGAAACCCTTATAACGTCATCATGCCCGACATCCTACACGTCATTCTCATTGGGATTTGGCTATACGTGTTGTAGTGCTTACTACGCAAGAACAAGCACCACAAGACCATGAACTTGTACATCTCATATTTTTTCTAGAAGCAGCCCCCGCTCACTGGAGTTCCCGTTACCCCTATGACCATGCTTACCAAGTTCTGATATGCTATGCTCCTTCAGAAGGCATGGGGAAGAGTACAGGAGAACATTATTGGCAGGTCTTGAATCCCCCCCACCCCCGGCCGTTTTTTAGGTTCCGGAGCTAACTACTCTGCCGCGGAGCACGCCGCCATGATGAGGGTGGGTACACTAAGCCTTCTCTCTATTCACAATATCTAATTGACTTTATTCAGATCATGCGTTTGTTCCTTTACATTTTTTTTTCTTATTACCCCTCATTGACTTGACCAGTGGGCTTGTGCGGTACACTGTAAGTCACGCTGTTCATCATGGAGGGGTTGATTTTGTCCTACATTCTTTCGTAGCGTGGTTTGATAAGTACTTCCGGGCCAAAGAGTATACCGAGGCTCTCCTTGATGAATATCTGATTGACACTGCAGAGTAAGTCCCCCAACGAGAGCTTCATTCTGTTTCTTAATTTGCATTGCTCTGTTCCAAGTGCTCTGTTTCTTATGAGCCTCAACCCTCCCGTACACCTTATCCAGACTTGTGCGCCTGCTGGGTGGGTGCTTGAGAGCATGGTGCAAAGGCTGAGAGCATCTGTTTCAAGGTCCTTCCGTACATTCATGTTCTCATGTTGTTAGCATGGTGCAAAGGTCCTTCCGTACATTCATGGTAACAACATGGTAACAACATGAATGTGCGGAATGGTAACATCTGTTGAGAGCAAGGTCCTTCCGTACATTCATGTTCTCATGTTGTTAGCATGGTGCATGGTGCAAAGGCTGAGAGCCCCATGTTGTTAGCAAGGTGCAAAGGCTGAGAGCCCCGTGTTGTTAGCATGGTGCAAGGGCTGAATGTTGTTAGCATGGTCCATGGGCTGAATGTTGTTAGCATGGTGCAAGGGCTGATTGTTGTTAGCATGGTGCAGGGGCTGATTGTTGTTAGCATGGTGCATGGGCTGAATGTTGTGAGCATGGTGCAAGGGCTGATTGTTGTTAGCATGGTGCAAGGGCTGAATGTTGTTAGCATGGTGCAAGGGCTGATTGTTGTTAGCACGGTGAATGGGCTGATTGTTGTTAGCATGGTGCAAGGGCTGATTGTTGTTAGCATGGTGCATGGGCTGATTGTTGTTAGCATGGTGCAAGGGCTGAATGTTGTTAGCATGGTGCAAGGGCTGATTGTTGTTAGCATGGTGCATGGGCTGATTGTTGTTAGCATGGTGCATGGGCTGAATGTTGTGAGCATGGTGCAAGGGCTGATTGTTGTTAGCATGGTGCAAGGGCTGAATGTTGTTAGCACGGTGCAAGGACTGAATGTTGTTAGCATGGTGCATGGGCTGATAGTTGTTAGCATGGTGCATGGGCTGATTGTTGTTAGCATGGTGCATGGGCTGATTGTTGTTAGCATGATGCATGGGCTGATTGTTGTTACCATGGTGCATGGGCTGATTGTTGTTAGCATGGTGCATGGGCTGAATGTTGTTAGCATGGTGTATGGGCTGATTGTTGTTAGCATGCTCCCTCCCTCCCTCCCTCCCTCCCTCCCTCCCTCCCTCCCTCCCTCTCTCCCTCCCTCCCTCCCTCCCTCCCTCCCTCCCTCCCTCCCTCCCCCCCCCTCCCTCCCCCCCTCCCTCCCTCCCCCCCTCCCCCCCTCCCTCCCTCCCTCCCTCCCTCCCTCCCTCCCTCCCTCCCTCCCCTCTCCCCCTCTCCCCCTCTCCCCCTCTCCCCCTCTCCCCCTCTCCCCCTCTCCCCCTCTCCCCCTCTCCCCCTCTCCCCCTCTCCCCCTCTCCCCCTCTCCCCCTCTCCCCCTCTCCCCTCTCCCCCCCTCCCCCCTCCCCCTCTCCCCCCCTCCCCCCCTCCCCCTCTCCCCCCCTCCCCCTCTCCCCCCCTCCCCCTCTCCCTCCCTCCCCCCCTCCCCCCTCCCCCCCTCCCCCCCTCCCCCCTCCCCCCTCCCCCCCTCTCCCCCTCCCCCCCTCCCCCCCTCCCCTCCTCCCCCCCCTCCTCCCCCTCCCCCCCCCTCCCCCTCCCCCTCCCCCTCCCCCTCCCCCTCCCCCTCCCCCTCCCCCTCTCCTTCTCCCTATCTCTCGTTTCGATCTACACACAACAGGCTGATAGAGTTCACACCCCTGTGCTGAGTGCGAGCCATAAGATCATTGAGGCACCATTCGGTGTTCATGGCAAGAGAGGACACGAGCTATGGCAGAGTTATGTCGCGTGCCATCCTGAAGGGATGGCGAGGTTTGAGCAAATTCTGGCTGATTCTGGTCAATCCGTTCTGCTATGTTTCATTTGAAGAAGGGGCAATCCAGTGCAGGGGCGAACGGCTTGGCGTATGTGCAATTATGTGAATCCAATGGATCGGACAAAAAAACTTCCTGCGAAACACATGTTGATGCTCCACTCACCCATCGATAGTACGTGGTGGACGTTAGATCTCTCGTGCGAACAGTGCATGTCGTGCGGTCATATCATCGGCGGGGGCTGTACTACCGGTATATTAATCATTTTGTGACCAAATGAACATGCGACTGATTTGCAGCCGCAAGAATGTCGAATATCGTAGACGCACCTGTCAGTAACTTATGGTACGGTATATGCTTTAGGCAAGACTCTCTATTTCGTAGCTGGCACAAGGAAATTTTATTTGACACCTGATCTATATTTACTCGTATATATATATATATATATGACTAATGCATATTGTGCTGCACTTGTACCGTAGTTATTATTTTTAAGAACAATGCATGTATATTTGTTCACCCGTGGTACAGGGTGGTATGCATTTTCAATGCAGAATCAGAACACAGTTCTGTAACGCGATGACAAGCAGATATCGCATGACCAGGGGTGAACATTTTTCGTGCCATTTCACCACCTGACGTAACTGGCTGGGGCCATTTTCAGGTGCAATCCCATCAATTTGGGAAATGTGTTCAGGTGGGAGCCCAATCTGTTACGGCACTGTTACAACACTGTATACACCATGGCCTCAGATTCACTTTTAGGGTCGTCGACCCATCAGTGTACCCCTGTGTAGAAACCCTGATTGACAGTGTTCCTAAAAAAAAAAGCCTGAAATATCAGTGTTGCCTTTGAAAAAAGGCTGATGCATCAGTGTTCAATAATATAAAAGGCTGTTATTATTAGAAATCTCTATTTTAAATACTAAGTCAGTAGCAGCCTTCCGAAACATTGCTAAGCTAACATGCCTCATGAATCATCACCAGCCGTACTATCATCACTGCCCTTAGCCTTGGTTTTTCTCTCTCCTCCCCAGCTTGGGACACCAGTACGTGACAGTGCTCTGCCGCAACACACACCCCGGCTTCACTTCTGCTTGCGACACATACACGTTGAAGCTGCAGGGGCAGGGTTTGGGGGAGGAACCGGATTGACAGGCAGGGTGAGGCAGGGAAAGAGAGAACAGGAGGGAGAGAGGAGGGAAGACTGGCACGGTTGGGGGTGAGACGACCGGGGGAGAGAGGGAGTGGACGGAGTGCGGGGTAAAGGGAGCGGGGGAATGGACGGCGGGCGCGTGGGTCATGCGCGGTTCATGCCGTCGCGCAGCACGACGCTCTGCGCGCCGCCCGCGGTGCAGATGGCCTTTCAACCGCGGTTCGTGCTGGCGACGAGGCGGCCTTCGGTCATCGCCATTAGTACGAAAAACTACGCGTCTTCGAGTCGTAGCGGGCCTGCGACGCCGACGGGAATTGCCATGTGGCCGACGACCATCTCGCAGCATGCGTTGCGGATCGCGTCGAACGGGAGAGATGTGTTCGGCGAGACAAGAGGAGGTTCGGCGGCGCTCGTGATGGGTTCGATTCCAGACAGCCCGCCGTTTCTGGTGCTGGTGGCGCCATGTATTAGCGCAGACGAAAAAGCACGAGAGGAATCGGGCTGAGAGGGAGGGAGAGAGAAACAGGAGGAAACGAAACAAGAGAGATTGGATTGGATGGAATGGGACCATCTGTGCTTGCCAGCACAGCCAACGGTGCAGGAACCCTCGCAGCCCTCCAGCACCACATGCTTGCCACATTCTGATTAGCCAACACTTTATGCTGCAGCGAAACTGCCCAATGGAGTGCTGGCACCGCATGAATATGAGATTCAGTGTAATTGCGGGCAAATCCACACAGAACAAGTAAGAATTGCTTTCAGTGTTATTTTCGTGACAACGCTGTGGAATCAGTGTACTTGAGAAAAAAAGTCTGAAATTTCAGTGTGGCCTAACAAAAAAGGCTGAAAGATCAGTCCCACAAAAATCTCAACACTGATTTTTCAGTGTAGGTAAAAAAAGGACTGCCAAAGTCAGAAATTTCAGGGGTTTTTTCCTGATATCTGAGGCCCTGGTATACACGTGCCGAAACAGAGCCTTGTGCAGACTCGCCACTCACATCTTGTACTAGCTGACGGATTTTATTGTCTCTGACACATTCTGACGGAAATCAAACAGAGAACATGGCCAGACCAAACTACCCAAAGTTGTTAAGGCCAATCGAAAAAAAACAAATAAAACCCCTAGAGAACCTGGAAGCATTTCTGGGAGGGATCAACCCTAAACACGCGAACCCATATGGTGTTTATGGTTGATGCTTCCCGATTCAAATCCGTTTCAGATTGGGTTTTTTTTTTTTTTTTTTTTTTTTTTTTTTTTCACGGGAACCTCGGGAAAGCATCAACACTAAGCATCTCCCAAAAATGCGTCCAGGGTCACAAAGGCTTCAAATGTTTTTTTTTCTGTCTTAGCAATCCCTGGTAGCGTCGGTACGAAACGTGTGCGAGTGCATTAATTTCCCTCAGCGAGTACATATTTGAGTGGCGCATCTTACCAAGGCTTTGTTCCGGCACGTGTATACAGTGCGCAACAGAGACTTCGAAAGATGCGCCGGGCTCCCACCTGAACAAATTTCCCAAATTGATGGGATTGCACCTGAAAATGGCCCTAACTGGTTGCGACGCAACAAAAAGCCCTGCAAGCGGGTTGGCGCCAGGCCAGAATCAGAAACCCCAGACCAAAAACGAAGCAGCCTTCGGAATGCAGGTTCGGTCAAGGTCCATGAGGGAACCGCGCGCAACTCAATTGCCTGGCAAGGGCTACTTTGCTGAAGTAACAAAATCAAAAGAAGTAACTTTTGGGACGGCATGAATTTTCGGATTTGCCTTACCTGATTCGTGACTCGCGGGTCGTGTAGGCACTGGAATGGCACAGCGTGCTTCGCAGAATTGTACTGTACATGTACACTGCAGTGTTTATGAAGGCAGTCTCGAAGCTATGGCAGAACCCACTCCGTCCTTGCCAATCTCTAGGAGGGAGATGCGATTTTTGAACAGTATCATGTCACTGCTCCAACTTTCCACGCGGTTGTACAAGAATGCCAGTGACCCCACCCCAACCTTCCTGCCAAGTAAATAAGGCGCTGACTCAGCCACGGCTCTCATATCTTGCTGCTGAGCTGACGGTACCTGGAGGTTTCGAACGGAAGTGGGGGGAGAAGGACGAGGGGCGCACGTCCTCAGGTCTATCCGCGCGGCGACTGCCAGCCAGGGAATGCACTGCTTCTTTCCAGCTTCACCGCGAAGTGAAGTTGGACTGTCTGAATCCACGTGATTGACCTTTTCGAAAGGCACCACGCACGCGCTGAGTCAGCACTGGAATGGCACAGCGTGCTCAACAGAGCCGTTGTGAGTACATCGGTTATTCTGAAAAAAAAAATATTATGCAAGTGCTGTGTTTGAGATGAGGGAGAGGAGGCTCTTGACACTCGTATGAGTGCTGACTCGGCAACCCATCTAAAAGCTACTTTGTCTACTCTGCAAAAACTGACCGTGACTGACCCTCTCGACAGGATGACTTGGAAAGCCGTGGTCCCTGCCTGGCCCACTCGGAGGAGGGTCGCGGAGTGTGGTGGAGCCGCCAAAATTGGTAATTACCTTCTGGGTAACCAACATCTAGCCCGCTGACGTCAGAAGTCACCTACGTGGCTCGATGGTACCCGTCAGTTTTTGCGCGCCCCTTCGTGGTACCCATCTTCCCTCCGTGGTCACCATCAACTGTGCGCGAATTCCCTGACTGGTACCGCAACATTTCAACCGAGCAGTACACCGTACAACAAGGGTTTCAATGCATTTTTTCAGTATATTGTACCAACGCTTACAAGTGGGCAGGCCTAGCCAAGACAGTGTTAGAAAGAGAACTGAATGAGAATGACTAGAATGAAAGAATACATGGTAGATATAGCTAACCCTGACAGCCTAGTACAAACTGTACACCTAGCCTAGCAACTATACACCTAGGAATATAATTGTTTACTTTGACACGCCCCCATAGGCTAGGTAAGAGGCATCGCGAGAGCAAGATAAGAAACAACTCAGGGCAGATAAACTAGTACAACCACTGAGACAAGCAGTCACAAGACTAGTATGCAAGAAACAACAAAGCATGTGGTGCAGATCAGGGTGGCACTACTACTCCACTCACTAATCAAAAGTAGTGCGTAGTGTGTCGTGCCACTCATGAGGTGCCTAACGCAGACCGTAGTCAGGTGGGAAGGCTCCACTGGGTCTCTGAAGGGAAAGAGCCAGTGAAGTCAGGTGGTCGACGCAGCCAGAACTGCTCGTGCGAACAGCCCTGGAGAAAGGCAGTGGAGAAATCCAGTGAGTGGAGCTCGTAGTCACGCAGTGCTATAACACCCAAAGAGAGGTCATCTTTGGGGTGGGGGAGAAGGTCTCTCAACTGGCTAAAGCCTCTAGCCACGTAACGTGCCTTCAAGACAGGCGACGATCCAGGTGGTCGCTTCGCCTCTAAGATCCATATGCCGTTGACTACGTTCGCCCGAGGAGGGGGAACTGCGTTAACGTATTTGCCTGTGGACCTCCAAGATGCCATCTCTGTGGTCCAAGGCCACTATCCACTGAGATGACCATCGTCCTGACACTGCCTCAGCATAAGTGCGAGGAGTCGGGATGTCAAGAGCGTCTGGGTCACCCTCAGGGGCTATCAGCATGGCACAAAGATGAGGAGTAGCAGCCGCAAGGAAGGCCAGCTCAAACTGCTTGTCCTCTACGATATCCAAGCCAAAGGTAGAAGAACACTCGATGGACTGAGGACGGGCAGTACCAGAAACCAACTGAGTGGCGTAGTCTAGGTAGTGGGTGGAGGCAAATGCAGCGACATCAGTAACAAGAGCCGAGACAGACGAAAGAGGAGCAGTAGGATCTGTTACGAGAGAGGAGAGGACACGAGAGACCGTAGGGCGAACATCACGAAGGAAGTCAGAGAACGAAGGAGGAGAGACAGTGAGGGACGATTGAGGAGGTAACAGTAGAACAAGAAGCGCCCCACGAGGAGGAAGAGAACGGAGGCTCATAGAGTGAAAGACAGGTACGGGAGACGAGTAACGAGCACCAGTGGCACGACGAGTGGTCCAGTCTGGAAGAAGAGGAGGAGAGGGAGGGCAACGGGGAGGAAAACAAGCCAGAGACGCCTCTTGGTGAGGCACTGGAAGGGCGGAGGAAGTCTCACTATCAGTGGAAGGGCAAAGAAGACAAAGATCGACATGGCGCAGTCGCTGCTGTGGCTGCTGCGGCGGTTGGGGCTACTGTGGTTGCTGTAGCGGCAGCTGCTTCTGTTGCGGCTGCTGCTGCTGCTGCTGCTGCGACTACTGCTGCTTCCTCTGCTGCTGTATTCTCACCAACATCGCGGGTCCATGGCAGCATCTCCAGAGCTAGAGCCTCAAGTGTCAGCACCCCCAGAACCAACACCTCCAGCACCAGCACCTCTATAGTCAGAGCCTCTAGCGTCACCACCCCCAAAACCAGCACCTCCAACAGCACTCCCAGCAGCAGCACCTCCAATGTCACTCGCTGCGTAGCACACGATCTTCTCTCGCTTGTTCTCTCCTTTGTTGTGCAGGTCGATTTCCTATTGTTCTGCAAAACGAGTTGCACAAAGTGAAGCTAATTAGATGGCGCCTTGGGCGCGGAGGAGTGACTTGCACTGTCCTCACTCTAAACTCAAGCGAGCGATGATGACAGAGAGAAATATGTCGTCAAGTCGTGCCCGCCGCTTTTCTTGAATGGTCCCTTAGATTTTTTTGCAGCGGTTGATGTAGGCACTTTCTTTCTCTCCATTGGCCATTCTGACTGCAGTGACTTGACTTAGAAGTGGACTCATTTTTTAAAGATTACCACATGCAATCACGCGACAAACTATAATCAAATTTGCAGCCTTCATCATGAAGAACAAAACCCAAACACGACGCACATGTTTATTGAGAGAGGTGTTAGAATAACCGAAAAGGTTTTACAGCATTCCCGAAGGTATCACCTTAGCGCATCTCCTCACAGCAAAGATACACCTGTACCACTACCGCGTTAGCTCATATAGAGCACGCAT